CGGCCCCACGCATGCACGGTGCAGACCGCTGCCCCTGCGGTGTAGAGCCTGTGCCGAGGGAAGTGTTTCCCTGGGGGGTGGCGGCCGCTGCAGGTCCCTGGGTGCAGCAGCAGGATTTAAGAATTTGGAGGTTTGTTTTTTGGTGTGTATGCATTTGGAGACAGGGTCTTGCTATGTACTCCAGGACAGCCTTGAACTATGTAACCCAGGCCGGCCTTGAACTGGCTGCGATCCTCCTGTCTCAGCCTCCTGAGTGCTGGGATAACAGGGGGCACCAGCACACCCGGCTAGAGTTTCCATATGCACGTCCCTTCTGGAGTGACGGGCCTCAGAATGCTACCATGTAAGTCTGGGCTTTGTGGGTGGCCCCAGGATAACGGAAGTCACTCAGCAAGTCCATCGTCAGGAGACGAAGGAGGGCCTGGTAGGTAGCACCCTAGGGTGGTAGAAGCGGCCTTTGTCCACCGTCTCATTACAGACACGGTGGCCTGTTCTACAGGCGCTAGCGCTAGCGGGCGGGGATGCTCCCTGCTCCCCGGTCCCCTCATCCCCAGGAGTCGGCAGGGTGCGTGGGAGTCGGAGCACATGACGGGCAGCGCCTCTTCCCCAGGGCCGTGGGCGCCCAGCAGAGTGTGAAGGTGCAGAGCGAGGCCGTGGAGCCGCAGCAGCCCACAGCTGGCTTGTGGCTAAAGGCTCTGGCGCGCTGGCACGGCTGCCCTGGATTTCATAAAACTGTCTCCTCCTGACACAGACGGTGCCTCCAAGGAGGAGCGCCCGGTTGTGCGGTGTGGCGGGGAACATCTCACTACCGGTAGTATGCGGGAGAGCTGAGTGTGAGCCTATGCACCCACCCTTCAGAAATTCAGCACTGATCTACCAGGAATGTGGGAGGTTTGTCTCTGGTAGACTTGTTCATAGAGCCGGCTCTCAGTTTGTAAATCAGCTTCATGAAGTGGTCCCTGGAAGCCGAATTTATTTGCTCTAACACGAGTTCTTAAAAAAGGAAAAGAGCCGGGTATGGTGGTGCACACCTGTAATCCCAGCACTGGGGAGGCTGAGGCAGGAGGATCGCCACAAGTTCGAGGCCAGCCTGGGCTCCATAGCGAGGTCAAGGCCAGCCTGAACTGCACAGCGAGACCCTGTCTTAAAGGGGGGGTGGGGTTGGCAAGAGGCTGCAGGTGCCAGTGTGTGCGCACACTTCGGGCGAGATCAGAACGCCTTCCTGTTTTTTGTTCCTCCCCACAGTCTTCAGATTCACAACTCAGTGGTGAAAGGAAAAACTCAACACACCAACTTTTTCACACCACAGAAATGCGAAACCTTTTCACGTTCAGAGGCTTCTGTTGAATGCCCAGACATTCAAGGGTCAGAAAATGTGTTTGCTGCACGAGCACATAGAAATGTAAAGCTGGAAGGGACCGCTGAGAAGGTCTCACTCCAACTCATTTTAGGGTCAACAACGCCTAGCTTTAGGGGTTCAGCGCTTCGCTCAAACTCACCCACTACTTCATGGCAAAGCAATTAGCAAACAGGCTTTGGGACCCCGCTGCAGTACTGGATGTACGGATTGTCACAGGGCTGCTCCATAGCTCAGCGCCCATTAGCAGTGACAAGGAGGACGGAGACGTCTGCCCACCCGACAGGTGACTTTCGGGAATGTTCAAGCAGTGCAGGAGCTGCGCTTAAAATGGGGGAAGCCGGGTGTGGTGGCGCACACCTGTCATCCCAGCACTCAGGAGGCTGAGGCAGGAGGATCCCCAGGAGTTCAAGGCCAGCCTGGGCTACATAGTGAGACCCTGTCTCAAAAACAAAAAGGGGTATGTGTGGCAGCTCGGGCTCATTTGACCAATGGAGTCGTCCCTCTGCTCCCCGTCCTGGAGCTCAGGTGTGACTGAACAACACACGTGCATCTGTCCCTGAGGCTAAGCCATGGGTTTCGGGTCCGCATCTCACGTTCGCAGTGGGTCTGTCTGCCAACACTTTGGATGAAGCAAGAGCTGGAGGTAGCGCTGGTGTCTCCCCCGGGAGCCTTCTTGGCCAGGGTGACCAGAGGGGCCGACACCTTCGTCCCCTGAGGACAGCTGCCCGGAGCTTCTGCAGTGCCTGGGTTTTGTTTTTTTTACAGAAAACTGAGGCCAGATGGAGCCCTCCCTCCTGATGGAAAGGAAGGAAAGAAGAAGAAAGAGGAGGAGGAGGAGGAGGAAGGGCCCCACGGCTCAGCGCGTTCACACACGGCGAGGGTGGACGTCGCGGGAAACCCCTCCGCCTGGGAGCTTACCCACGCGGCTCGCCTCGGGTGCCCAGTGTCCTCGGTGTTCTTGAGACCAGAGCAGCTCCTTCACGTCAGCGCTCGGTTTAAAAGCCACCAGGTCCTCAGTCCGGAATTCCTCCCACAGACCCTGGCTCGGCCCAAAGCAGCTCGGTACGTGGTGATGGGAGGGTGAAGGGGACAAGCGTAAGGCCCATTCGACGGCATTTTCTTTTTTAAACAAATGAAAAGGTTGGTTTCTTTTTTTTTTTTTTTGGTTTTTCTCCGGTACCGGGAACCGAACTCACGACCTTGCGCTTGCCAGGCAGGCGCTTTTGCCGCTGAGCTAAATCCCCAGCCCCAAGGTTGGTTTCTTTATTTCAGTTTTTCATTTTAGGAGTGGCTTTTGAATTTTACTTTGTGGTTTTTTTGTGTTGTTTTGTTTTTTGACTTAGGTCTCACTATGTAATTTTAGGATGGTCTTTTTTTTTTTTTTTTCTTTTGAGACAGGGTCTCACTATGCAGTTCAGGCTGACCTTGAGCTCACTTTGTAGCCCAGGCTGGCCTCAAACTCGCAACAATCCTCCTGCCTCAGCCTCCCAACTGCTGGGATTACAGGTGTGCGCCACCTTGGCTGATCTTAAACTCACTGTCTAGTCTAGGCTGGCTTTAAACTTGAGGTGATCCTCCTGCCTCAGCCTCCTGAGTGCTGGGTTTACAGGTGTGCACCACCAAGACCAGCTTGTTCTATATTTTAAACATGTTCAACACTTACAGGGTTCTATAGTCAAACTATTAAACAAGATATTCTCAAAGACACCCTTGCCCCCCCACCAACTTACTGGTTATAATTTTCATTAGAGTTTAGCATCCCTTCTTATTGTTTCTTTTTGAAAATATGAGCAAGTCCCATTTGTTATGTTTGGATCTTTAATTCCCCGAGATAAAGGTCACAGACGATGCTCTGGCCCTGCCTTTCCCCTATACGTCATAACCGCAGCCTCACGATGCATCAGAGTGCGTGCACCATTTGAAACATGCTCCACCTCAGTTGGGAAAAGGTATCTGCTACCTGTCCCGAGATGCCCTATGCCCCTATGCCCATCTCCTCAGCAAACATGCTGGAGTCCCAGCACCCACCCCATGGGGCAAGAGGTGGGCTGCATGAACACAATGCACAGCCCCTGGGCAGGGGGATTTGCAGTGCCGAGCAGAATGTTGCTCTCTGACCCTCTGGCCTCCCAACCCCACGCTAAAGACGCACTGGCAACAGCGTGTGGTATGTGCTCGAGGACCTCCTGAAAAAGCAAAAGACCAGAAAGAGCCATCAGAGCCCGCCGCGGGCCTGGCTGCACGAGCCGAAGTCCACCCACACGGCACCAGTGAGGGTTCTGTCCAGTTTATTTAGAACACACTACCGTGATTACACAGCCTAATGGGGTACAGGTAAACAAAGCGGCACACTCAAAAGCGATGTCTGAAATAAGAACAAAAGTTTTCTCGGCAAAAATGTGACAGTTTTCCTCATCAAGGGAGCAGGGTGGAGCACGGTCAGAGTCCTGCCTCGCCGTACACCTCTCCGTAGCTCAGCACCCCAACCCCTCTGCTCTCGGAGGTCCCAAATCTCGAAGGTCTTAAACCGCCTCTTTCTCATCATCCGAGATCAAGCAGGGGCCCAGCAGCAGCTCTGACAGCTGAGCAAACGCTCTGCTCCCAGCTTGCTCCTCTCTCCGCTCAGACGCTCTTCTTCAGGTGGGCGAGGGTAGGACACGCAGGCATCTGAGCTCCAAGAGAAGAAGCCAACCTAAGAGAGCACTTCCTGCTTCCGCTGGGGCGTCCAGAGCCTCGACAGCCCTGGGCACTGCTCCGGCTGTCCACTGTCGGCAGGGCAGGCAGACACAGTCCTGCCTGCTGCCCCAGGGACCGCCAAGTCCCAAGTGCAGCTCCCACTGAATTCCACCCGAGAAAACAGCCCTGGGCAACAGGGGCTGTTAGGGAACGGGAGACAACCATGTTTCCGCAGAGGGGAGGAAGGGCTCCTGCTGGTCTTCCCAGTCCAAATCCAGAGGGACGAAGACCACAGACTTCGTGTCCCTGCACGACACCCTCTGGGGACAGGCCTCCCGCGTGCTTCCCCTTCTCGGACTCCCTGGCTCTGTGTGACTGGAGCTGCGCCGATGCCCTTGCGGTACTGGGAGCAGATGCTTCTTTGAGGGCTGTTCTGTTCCTGATTTGCAGACTTCCTCAAACTCGCAGGGGACCAGGAGATGGAGGGAGCGGAAGGGGATGCGAAGGGAATTGCGACGCGTCGTGTATGCGAAAGCCCGCGTGCGTGAGGAGTGCGACACGTCCTGCAAACGCGAACTCCGGATGAAGGAAAAGCCTGGCACTCGGGGTGGGAGTTGCACCCTCACCGCCAGCCTGGCGTGAGGTGGGCCGGGCAAGGTGCCGCGCGGCTCTTCTCTGTGGATCTGGGCACGGGCCACACGGCTTTTCCCACGAAGCCTACGCGCCTCAGAAAGGTGTCTCCTGGCCCAGAGGCACACACCTGTGGTCCCGAACACCAAAAATACCCCCCAAACATAAAACATTGGAAACCTTTTAAAAATAGATTACAAGATGTGTTCTGCTGGGCATCATGGTGCACACACCTGTAATCCCAGCGCTCTGGCAGACTGAGGCAGAAACATCAAGTTTCAGTCTAGCACGGCCAACTTAGTGACTTAGCAAGACTGTCTCAAAAAAATTTTTTTAAACAGGGCTGGGGTGTGTAGTTCAGTGTGAAAGCTTTGGATTCGATTCCCAGTACCACCAAAAAAACAAAAGTCTCATGGTGCTAAACTGGAAGATTGTTTCAACTTTTCTCTTGCTGCCAAAGGTAAGGGCTAAGCCAGGCATGGTGGCATACACCTGTACTCCCAGCACTCAGAAGGCTGAGGCAGGAGGGTCGTTGTGAGTCTGAAATAAGCCTGACTACATAGTGAGACTCTGTCTCAAAAAAAAAAAAAAAGTACTGACTAGACTTCTTTGGTCTTTAAAATTCCATAAAATTCAACTGGTGTGAAAACAAAGGTATCCCACAAGCAGCAACCAAGCATCTCTGAATGGACAGAGTTTTTCTGCTTGCTGAGAATGGTAGAGGAAGAACTGTGCGCTTGGAAGCCATGGATGGGGACTTTCAGTTTTTAAAGAGCACGTCGGCCCGTCGGGCGTGCTCTACTTGAGCATGGCCCTGTGCTCTCCTCTGGCGATGTGAGACGAGAACTCGTACCGATCTTGGCTCCGGTAGCCGCACATGTTACACTCAAAGGGGTCTCGGAAGCCGTGGCATCCCATGTGGATGGTGAACATCACGTAATCCAGGAAGAGCACGCGGCAGTGGTCGCACCGGAACACATCGGTCACCTCCCCGTCCTTGGTGATCACCTTGACGGAGTCTCTCGGGCAGAGGGGCGGGGGCTTGAGGAGTTCATAGGCGCGGGGGGCCTCCTTCAGGAGCGGCACCCCGTTGCGAGCCCGGGGCAGGACCACGTGGTTCTGCGGGTAGAGGTGGTTCTGGCGTTCCTCGTGGTTGCTGTCGGTGTCTGTGGAGTCGTGGCCACTGTTGTTCGGGGAGAGGCCTCTTTCGGAAGCCAGGCTCTTCTCTGGCGGGGCTGCGTTCTTCTTGTCCAGCTCCTGGGGGGCACCGTTGGGCACCTCGGCCCGCGTGAGGGCTATGGGGTACATGCTGCTGATGACCGGGACCATCTCAGAGGACGGGGGTGCGGGCGGCGTCTGGACCAGGGGGCGCAGGGCTTCGGCGCCGAGGTAGCCTATGGCGTTATTGATGGCCTGGTCCATCATGCGGGTCTGCATCAGCTCGCTGTCCTCGTACAGGTAGCTGGAGCTGTAGCTGGCGTCGAAGCAGTGGCGCTTCTCCCCTGGAACGAGCAAGGAGGACGGTTACGAGGGGGACGGCACCGCGCGGAGCCCGCGGGCTGCGTGTCCAGAGTCCTCAAACACTGAGAAAGCAGAAGCTGCCGCTGCTCCGAACGGCCGGCCCTGTGGCAGCCAGGCTCCGCAGCGAGGCCTCGGGGGCGCGGCTGCCAGAGCCCGCGGGCAAAGGGAGCACAGGGATGGTGTCCCGCTTGGGCTGCGTCTGCGGAGCCGCTGTGCGGGAGCAAGCAGCAGGGAAAGCAGCAGAAGACAGGGCGCAGGGCGGGGGCGCACGCTGCAGACGAGGCCAGGGCCCGAGCCCTCCTCCAGCTGGTTCTTCCCCTGTGTTAGCAGCAGCCAGGGGCACGGAAGTTTTGGGGACTGGGGATACTCAGCCGCCAGCCTCGGCAGCTCTGAACCCAGCTACAGCGGTCAGAGAGAACAGCCCCGACTTCAGCTTCAGCTGCCGACTGCTGCCTGGCGGGACGAGGCGTGAGGACGGCACCTGCGCGGTGCGAGAAGGGTCTTCTGAAGGGGCCCCCGCGACGCCGTGCCCTCCCCAGAGCGTCCTCTTCCCTGCTCGTCTATCTCACCCTAACCGATGACATTTACCCGTGGTCACCTCTGCCACTTCCCCAGGTAAAGTGCTGAGAGATTCTGAAAACAGAGGCGGCCCTGGCGAGCGTGTGGGTGCTGTGTGTCACGAGAGGGGGCGGGGAGACAGAGGCAGAGAGAGACAGAGGCAGAGACTCACTCGCTCTCTGGCCACAGTGGCCAAGGGGCTGGAGGGGGAGGGCAGGAGTGTGGAGGGCGAGTCAGGGCTGGAGGTGAGGCGAAGGTCACTCTGCTGACCTTGGTTCTGGGGCGCTTTGCTCAGCCCCACACTGTTCTTTCATGATTGTTTCGTAATGTTTCCTAGGCTGCTGGGCTTCCAGGATTTGGCGCTGCCTGCAGAGGTCGGGCAGTGAAGGACAGAAAACACCAGGAGAGACGCGGGGCTGGAGATGCAGATCCTGCTTCTGAGGCGTCTCCAGCCCAGCAAGAGGGGAGCCAGACGTGCTCGCACGGAGTTGGAGAGAAAGTACAGGTTAAAAGCTGTGAAGGGCCGTTTTGCTCTCTGGAGGCTCTGGATTTGATTCGAAAAGCCATGTATGAGACATTTAAGCAGGGAGAAATATGTTTCCTGTAAAAAGGGTCAGAAGTACCATCTAGCCAGGCGTGGTGGCGCACGCCTATAATCCCAGCACTCAGGAGGCTGAGGCAGGAGGATTGTTGCAAGTTCAAGACCAGCCTACAGAGTGAGCTCAAGGCCAGCCTAAACTATATAGTGAGACACTGTCTCAAAAAGACCAACAACCTAACAACAACAAAAAAGAAGTGCCATCTAGGCAAGTGTAAGATTGTGGGGTATAATAACATATTAGTATACCTTACTTCTCCCAGTATGGGGATTTGAACGCAGGGCCTTTGCTCTGAGCCACATCACCAGCCTTTTTAATTTTTTATTTGAAGACAGATCTTGCTAAATTGTCTAGGCTGGGCTGGAACTTGTGATCCTCCTGCCTCAGCCTCCCAGACTGCTGGGATTACAAGCATACACCACCACACCTGGCTTGTAAATAGCGTATCTACACATGAAGGGAAAGCAAGGACTTCAGGAGCATCTCGGGGAGGGAGGCATTCTTGGGAAAATGTAAATTGTGAGAAGGGTCTGGATAAACTGGTGGGATTTAGATTGTCCAAAAGGCAAGGAAGGGTTCCTAGGCAAGAGGGAGCAGAAATGAAGGCAGGGAGCTGCATACGACATGCATAGAGAAGAGCAAATGAGTCTGGTTAAAGATATGCCAAGAAATACGTTTGTTTTTTGTTTTTCGAAGCAGGATCTCACTAGTAGTTCAGGCTGGCTTTGACCTGACCTGCTGGTGATCTTCCTGCCTCAGCCTCCCAAGTGCTGGGATTATAGGCGTGCACCACCACACCTGGAAACACCAAGAAATATGAAACAAAGTGTTTCTCAGATGTCGCTTTTCCTTCACGTCTGCAGTATCCATGTCCCTGGGCCAGGTGGCGGTTGAGAGAACGCATTCTAGCGCCACATGGACTCAGTCTGGCGCTGGCTCTGATGGCTTCTAGCGGTGCGACCTCATGTGGAATGGTCCCTGTAACTGAAGCGACCCCGTGGGGCCCCTAGATGTGCTTAGAACTGTGTCTGACATGGAGAAAGCACTTGGTAAACACCAGGGTGGTTTTTTTTTTTTTTCTCATAATTTGTTTGAATCAGCTCACATTTTCTTTTTTCTAAAATGAAAAATGTAAAGGAAATTCTATATCACTAACATAAATGGAAAACTAGAATCACTTGCCACAAGTAGAAGGTGATTATGTAAAATACAGGCAATGAAACGGAGTGCTGTGTTACACTCTGATCAGAAACCGCTGTGGGCACCTGGGGGCCACGACCCCCTCTCTAGTTAAACACCGCGATGACCAAGTGTGTGATGCGCACTGAAGACAACTAGCGTCAGATCTGGCCTCAGTCCTTCTCTCCAGGACTGTCCGTGTTCTCAGAGATTGAAAGAGAACTGAAAAGAAAATGATTTTCTTGGCAGGCGGATCACAAGTTCTTAAACGCCCCGTGTGTCCCCCAGCAGTTTGCGTCCTACCTTTCCGGAAACACTGAGACAAAAATGACAGCAACACCCCCGGAGGGGCGCGGGGAGGGGCGTCCTGAAAGGCCAGCCGGGGGTCTGGGTCTGAACAAACAGCAGGTGACGACAGGCTTCCGAGAGGGAGGCCCAGGGCCACAGCAGTGTGTAAGGGGACCAGAACTGGAGGCCGTTAAGCTGGAGAGGGCAGAGAAAGGGCTCATCTACTCAGGCGGCTCTGCCCTGGTCCCCACCATCGGCCGACCTGACAGCTTCCAGACAGAGACCTGGGAGAAGGAGCAGGGAAAGGAAAACGGCTTCTCCTGACAGTTCGATGGGACTCAACAGGGCCGTCTGCCTCTGCTAGAGCAATCCAGGGCCTCTGTTTGCACTCCCAGCCTGGACGTGTCCTTGGTGGCCCTGCCCGCAGGAGGACACCGAGGACAAGAACACCAGCTGAGGCCACAGGCCTGAAGCGACACAGGGGCAATGAACAAGTGATTCTGGCGATAGGCTGGGGTTTTCTGGCCTTGTCAAGGCTACTGATGAACTCCTGGAGTCCCCGGAGGCGCCCTCGCAATTCTCCATGTTTTCGCCTGAGACAGAACCAGAGGCGTCCAGGTGGGGTGGGCCCGTCACAACCTCTGCCTTACCCTTTCCCCCGGAGGCCGCTTTTCCTGTGCTGGCCCGCGGCTCCCATCCTGTGCCTCCCTCAGCCCGAGCCAGAAGAGGACGCCTGGAGATACACATGCAGCCCTGCGGCCAGGGCAGCCCCGCGTTCGCGGCGAGGATGGGCATGCTCAGCTCCTTGTGGGCTCGCGGCTTGCAGGTCCCCTGTCACCAAGTTACGGTAACTTGAGTGGCGGAGATGATTAGGAGACGATTATCAGTCACCTGTAGACACAATGACTCAGTGGGTATGAAACCCGGAGGGAGGCAGCTACAGTAACGAAAAGCCAAGAGCTCACGTTTCTTTAGTAACACACTCATAAAAGAGGTTAGTCAAACCACAAGTGTGTAACTGCTTCCAAAGCTACTCGGAGCCTTGGGTCCCGCTTCTAGTTAATTTTTTTTTTTTTTTTTTTTTTTGTGGTGCTGCGGATTAACTCAGGGCCTTGCGCACGCGAGGCAAGCGCTCAGCCCCACCCCCTTCATCCTCAGCCTGAAGCTTCTAGTTAAAATCACACCACCTTTGAGTGATTCATGATGCCGGCTTCAGGCTGAACACAGGTTTTCTTCCAACGAAAACTCAAACGGCAACAGAAAGTACTAAGTTTAGAAACCAGGCCGCCTGGCTGGGCCTTGCTCGTGCTGTGCGTTTCTCTCACGTCTGGGTTTTGGTAACTAACCCGAGCACCTGCCTGCTCTGGACCCATGCAGTGTAGCAAGAGCAGGGGGTTGCAGGCTTTTTTTTTTTGGTCTTTTTGAGACAAGGTCTCACTATGCAGTTCAGCCTGGCCTTGAGTTCACTTTGTAGCCCTGATGGCCTTGAACGCACAGTAATCCTCCTGCCTCAGCCTCCCAAGTGCTGGGATTACTGGCGTGCGCCACCACTCCCAATGGTGAGAAGTACTTCTGAGGCACAGCTTGTGATTTCCATGGGGTGCCTGACAGAGTGCCTGGCGTAGGTGAGCGCTGGGAGTGGTAGACCTATTATTGTTACTGTCATCCCTTGCTTAGCACCACTCCTGCGCTCCGAGGAACGCAAACGTAACTGCAGTCCACAGGGACGCAGCGTTTCGCGCCATTTCATTACAAGTCAGCGTCCTGGACGCTACCCGCACAGAGCAGCCATCGGGCCACTCCTCAAACATGCTCCCTGTAACGGGCAAACATCGGGCCGCTCTCAGGACAGCCTTCCTGTAGTCAGAGGCGGTGGTGAGGGAGATGGAGACGCCTTTGCCTGGAGCAAGGAGCAGGCTATTCCTGACGCCCGGAGTGCAGAGGGGCTGAGAGAGGACAGGGCGCACGGCCAGCGGGCCTGGAGCAACCGTAAACAGAAGCGGGGAAAGATGAAGAGGGGGCGGAGCAGCTAGCCGAAATGATACAGGCAGAGAGGCCAAGCTGGAGACGGAGTGTGGAATCTCAGAAGGTGTGGATTCAGTGAGTGGCTTTGATTTTATTCCCCCGGGGAGCCCGGGAGAGGTTTTTTGGGAGAGGGAGGCAAAGTGAATTGACCTTTGGAAAAATAACATAAATCTACGGTGGGAATGGGAAATAATCAGGCTTTCTTGCAGTCTCTAAGTTTCCCAAGTCACTTAAATATGTTTGCCGCTATTTCTTTCTTTCTTTTTTGGTACCAGAAGTCAAACTCAGGAGCTTGCGCTTGCCAGGCAGGCGCTTGTGCCGCTGAGCTACATCCCTGGTGTTTGCTACTATTTCTTGTAATTTCCCACCTGTATATCGCTTCCCAGCTGCAAGCACACGTCCAGAAAAAGGCAGGTAAGTAGGGGAAATGCAGCTGCAGCGGTCGCAGTGAGACTGAGCTCGGTCTGGAGGAGACAGCAGGCTCAGACACTGCAGGAAGCGGGTGGGGGGACCGCATTTTGTAGCTGCTGCAGCAGTGTCCATGGCGACACCGCAGCGCTGTTGGCCGTCCCCTGTCCCGAGGGAGTCACAGGGAGGACCGTCCTCTTCTCGGTGCCGTGGCACAGGGCTGCCTGCAGGGCTCGGACATGCAGCCTGTGGCAGAGGGCGGGAGAAGACCCCCTGCTCTGAGACACAGGTGCTCCCGCTGCTTCCTGTTGCTGCTAACCAAAGCAGGTGACTTCCCATTCGCTGCTTCAAGGAGAAGCGGTGGTGTTTGCTCAAGTGTCAAAACCTCACCCGCTGTTTGCCGTGGGTGAAGGGGATCCTTTTTCATGCTCTTTCAACATGAAAACCTTCTTTAATAAAGTGGCACACACGCTTCTAAAAAATAAGAAGACGCTGTGGTAAAAACGTTGCTCTGAATCACGTCCGTTTTGGGGGCCAGAATGAAAACCAGGAAGGAGAAAACTCGGGCACGTGCTCACCCCTTCTGCTCCCTCTGGGAGGGAAACCGGCCTGCCCCGAGCCAGGCACCCGAGGACGGCCTCAGCTGAGGGACAGCCGAGCAGAAGATGCGGAGACGGGCACTGCCTGCCAGGGCCGGGGTGCTGAAACTCTCTGCTTGTCTTTTGGAAAGAACTAAATTGTCTGGATGCCACACAGATGCTGGGGGTGTGTGCATCCACTGATACAAAACAACACGAAACTTCTTGAAGAGTTGGAAGAACTGTTTTATCTTCCTCCTCCTGTTATCTGTTAACAGAGTTTTGTGCTCCAAATGCACCCAGTCTGCCCCTCCTCCCGGTTCACCTCCGCTGGGTGGAAGCCGCTCCCTCCCGGAAGTCATCTCCGGCCCGCCAGGACGGCCGCCGGCCTAGCGCCTAGCGGGGTGCGACTTCACCTCTACCCTCGCAGCTCAGGAGGTCAGGGAGCCGAGCGTGGTCTGGGCGCTGGGCAGCCGTCAGCAGGGATTGAGCAGAGTGACTCATTCTCCCTTCGCACCGCACCCGTTGCCATTTCCCGGGCTGCCGAGCCTTTGCACAAAATGGGGCCTCGGGGAGGAAGTGAAGGAGAGAGACAGGAAAGGCGAGGAAGAGGGCAGAGAGCGCCAGCCTCACGTGTCCTGTCACCGCCGTTCCTTTCTCCCCTGGACAGCCCTGCTCCTTCCATCACAAGGCTGGCTGGCTTCAACGAGCCCGGGAGGCGAACAAAGCTTCAGGGTGGGGGTGGGTGCTGGGAGCCTGGACGGGGCCCAGGGACAAGACTCTGCCGGGAGCTCTGAGCCACGCGCGTGACACGGGAATGACGCCGGGTGAGGGGAGAGGGCTGCCCCACGTGAAGAATACAAATGGTGAACGATGCCATTTTTTTTTTTAGATTCTCAGGATTAGTAATACCTTCCTCATAAAGGACCCAGAGGGCTGGGGATGTAGCTCAGCTCAGTGGTGGAGCACTTGATCAGCATGCGTGAGGCCCTCGGTTCAATCTCTGGGACCACAAACACAGAAACCAAGCGAAGAAAGCCACCTTAAAACGTATAACAGGGCTTATGACACAAACACCCCATCCTCAGAGGTGAGCAAAGTTACCGACGTTGCACACACGGGCTCTGTAAACGCTAAGCGCATTCATAGCTGTTGCCTTAGGTTTCTTTTCCGAATAACGTCACCGAGCTGCCGTAGCTGGGAGAGCCCGTCCTGGTCCCTGCAGCACGGACGCAGCCACCTCGCCTCACAGATGTGTACAGAGAGGTCAGAGGTGACGGAGCTGTCTAAACGCACACAGCTAAGAAACGAGAGCTACAGCAGGACCTGGTCTCTGGGCTTCTAGTCTGGGACTCCTCAGACTGCTCTGTATCACAATTTGCCCAAAAGAGAAAAGGGCCCCGGTTATTCTGGGCCTCGGACCCCTGAAGTTGCTACCTCAGCTCAAATCAAGCACTCACCCTGAACGTGGCAGCTCAGAAGATGACATGTGAGACCCAAGGTCAGCATCTCTGCTGAGTCTGGAGGTGCAGGGGAGAAGGCAGTGACAAACGGGGTGCCAGAGGCAGCCGCACGGACACGCGTGCAAAGCGTGGTCGTATGTTCACCCGTGGAAACAGCACGGCGACTTTTACGACAGTGATTACAGGTGTAGGGCCGCTCTGAGAACCAGGTACGCACTCTCAGCTTCTAGTTCTCGCAGGTGAAAGGGCAGTGCCCAAAACCAGGTTGGAGTTAAGACCCTTCCGATGGTTTTCCTCGCCTCTCCCCTAGCCCCTCCCAGACCAGCCTCTGCCCCTCCTAGAATCAAAACTTCCCCCAGAGTAAGACACACTCACAGTATAAAATAACAGTGCCAGCTTCCTTTTGTACTCCAGTCGGAACCTCCTCACATAAGTAAACGTCCAAAGGTAGACAGGCAATGTTTAAGACGACATTTCAGAATCACAGTGGGTCACCTGTGCTTATCCTCTGCAAGAAAGTCACCTCGCCCCGACACTGCCCACCAAGGGGGGAGGAGGGGAATCTCCCACAGCTGGAGTGCTCCAGCTTTAATATGACACCCTCCATTCTTAGAGGGATTAGGAGTGGGAAAAGCCTTCAGCTAGTAAAAATAAGTACGCAGAAATACCCAATTAGGCAATTTTGGAATCTATGCGTTCTCTCAGTATCCCCTGTAATTCACACAGAATGTCTACTTGTAAAAACATGATGTAGACCAGAACCAAATTTAGCCAGATTTAAAAACCAGGCAGGCATGCAGTCTCCCCAAAAGCTATCGGAAAGAACAAACAGAAAATAAAACCAAAGGAAGCAATCAGTAGCAGCAAGCATCTTTGGAAAACCATATTGACAGCTTTCTAAGATACTGAGGAAGGTCTATTTTTATGTGATTAACTATTTTTGTCCAATATCACCAACTTTCAACTTGTAACAGAACTGATACGTTCAACTAAGCTCTCTCGTTCCCAGCTACAAATCTATTTTAAATACCATGGTCACATGCATGTAAACATCTGGGAGAATTCAGCAAAATATTCTCGCCATTTGGGGGCCTAACACTTTAATGAACATAATTACTTCTTCGCCATCTCGCTCTGCTGTAGTTTTTGACAACGTACAAACCAGTGGCGTAAAAATTAACTTCCAGAAGACAAATGATTCAATGAAGCCATATTATTTAAATCTGCGTGCCCCAGCTACTTTCCCTTAAAACCAAGTCTCTAATTCAAGAAGATACGGCAATGAGTTTTAGAGCAGGAAAAAGTTCAAGCGTGCCAACAGTACCGATTTGTAACATATAATTACAACAGATCACAGAAGTGCTATCTTGGACATCTTACTGGTGTGAGTTGCATAAACATTTGTCATTCAGAGCCCAGGAGAAGGAGCAGCGTTCTGAACACCACCTCCATTTAGGAAACTGGGTACCAAATGCTCCCGTCTTCGGTTGAGAAGTCTTCAGTTCATACTGTTTACTTTACTTGCTAGCGCTCTCAAAACGAACCACAAAGAATAAAAGCACACAATGGAAACCAACTGCTTTGCGTGAACAGAGGTTAAGCGAGGCAGGGCCTGCAGCGGGCATCTCTCTGTTATCTCATTCAAACTGTCTGCGAGCAGCCGCGGGGAGAGGTCTGTACTCTTACCAATGAATTTCTGAGGCATTGAGCTCTTTCGTTTTGCCACGTTGCTTGCTAATCTGTCCAGAACGAGGGCTCTTTCACTTCCCATCTCTGCTTTGATGTGTCTCGCCTCCGCACTTGCTGGTTTGGAAAAATATAAAAAGAAGAGGAGAAAAAGAACACTTTGGTAAAGGAGGAGCAAAGGAAACCGGCCGGAAGGAGAGGGCTCCAAGGTCTGCCGACGTTACCTGTTATTCCTGCTCGGATAGCAGTCTGGGATACCAGCCGCGGTCAGCGAGGCTGACACCAGGGCACATTCAAATCTTGCAGTCTTAAACTAGGTGGGAAAGCCCGGCCCAGCCCCAGCCAGTGCCTTCATTAGCAAGAGGAAGTATTGAAGAAACAGGCTGGACGTGGTTGGTTGCAAAAAGATAAATAGATGGAGATCTTCTAACCCCCATCAGCCTTCTTTCTGATTCTGAGTAACTGCATGTAACACCTGCACGCTACCATAACTCTTCTTAACAACTTTGAAAAAAGGAGCATGGTGCCCCAGATTTACTGCCCTGTTTATGTTAATAGCACTTTTGAAAATAGACACACTCACCCGGATAGCAAGACCTCTACTCAGTGATTTGTGTATTGAAATTCTGAGCGTCTTTCTTTCTTTCTCTTTTTAGCACGGGCCTCTCAGTTCCCATCTTTCATACTCTGTTTCTCTGGGCTCTGGGTGGTCTGTTTCGCATGCTCTTCACATTTCAAAACCATCGCAGTTAAAATTTCCCCGAGCCTCACTGTTCTCTTCAGGTTGGCGAAAAGTTGCTACAATGCATTTCTATTATATTTCTAATGAAACATGTGAATCCAAACTGCCCAAGAGCCGGGTGTGGGGGTGCGTGCCTGCAATCCCAGCGCCTAGGAGGCTGAGGCAGGAGGATTGCCAAGTTCAAGGCCAGCCCGGGCTACATAGTGAGTTCAGGGACAGCCTGAATTATACAGTGAGACCCTGTTTCAAACACAAAAGAAAAAAAAAAATGCCCAAGAAGATGGGCTTGTGGTCTTCCTGCGGATAGATGCTCGGGACGTGCAGGCCGCACTCTCAGGTCTGGCTGCATGGTAGGATCGCCTGAAGAACATGTAAGAAACACCACGCCCGGGCCCTCACGTGGGTGCAGTCAGGCTCTCTGGAGGAAAGACCCGGGCATCAGTGTTTTCAGAGTCTCCCAGGTGACTTAAAATATAGCCAGGATTGCAAACTACAGAGGAGCAATAGGTAGCAGCAACATCCAATGCACGAAGAGTCCACTGGAATAAATGCAATTTACCTTGGTGCATGGCAGGCGGGACCTGTCAGACTTCACGTCTAGAGTTGAAAGAGACACTGGCTGCTGTAAAAACAAGGCTTAAAACCTGAGCGCACGACACAGCCTAAGCCCAGGACATATAAACCGTTTCACTAACAAGTCAGATGGTAATATTTCAAAATTGAGGGAACACATATTCTTTGTCCTATAGTGTGTGTGCGTGTACTTTCTGCCCCACATCCCTTTGAAAATGTAAAAATCCCTGTACAGAGACAGGCTGTGGCTACTTTTGGCCAGAAGGCCACAATCCTGCCCCCTGCCCCCAAGCAGACATACTGTGGTGCTATAAATATGTCTCTCGGTTTTATCTAAGCATTTAGTGAAGTGAAGTATCCATGCATTTCTAATATCTTTAGGAAAAACACCTTGAAACCAAGGGACTAGAGTAAAAAATAAGTGGTGACCGTGGTGTTTTTTTTTTGTTGTTTTTTTTTTTTTTGGTACCAGGAATCAGCTCAGGACCTTGCATTGGCCCGGCAGGTGCTTGTGCTGCTGAGCTATATCCCTGCCCCTGGTGACTGTGGAAGAGATGTTTTCCCTCAGATACATGCATTGGTTTGGGAGCTGTCTGGGCTCACCCTGCAGTGGAAGAATAGGTGTAGCGGCTGTGTGGAGAATAATGTCACGGAGCCCACGGTCTGTCGGACAGCAGGCGCTGCGCAGGGACGTTCCCAGAGAAAAGAGAACCGGCACCTTTGGCAGTGAGTGAGTGACAGGGAAAAGCTCCAGGGTGAGAACCAACACCATATTAGAAAAGGACAATTCAAAATATTAATTTTTAAAATTTTATATCAGCATTAAAGAAAACACAAACCTCTCTGCCAGTTGCTACATCACACGTGATGAAGTTCCTCAGTGTATTATTGTGTGTGTGTGTGTCCTGGGGACTGAACCCAGAGGTGCTCCTCCGCTAAGCTATGGCTCCAGCTCTCTTTAAAAGCTTTGAGACGGGGTCTTACTAAGTTGCCTAGGCTGGCATTAAACTTCGTTCCTCCTGCCTCAGCCTCCCCAGTAGCTCAGATTTACAGGCATGTGCCACAGTGCCTGCTTTGTCTATTTTTTTTTTTTTTTTTAATTCAAGACTGAAAGGAAATCTGGCTCCAAAAGTGAATAAGAGAAGAGGCTGGTGACATGTTAGTGTTTACTAGACTTTGTTTCTTGTCCAAGATAATCCTGGGCTTAGAGAAATAAGTCAGAGCCTCTAGTCTCAGCTTGTTACCCTTCTGTACAGGGAAAACAGGAAGGGTCAGCGGAAGGGGCCCCGGCAGCGCTTGGACTCGTGGTACATTACCTGGGTTTGAGGTCCCGGGTGTCGGGACACCTACTGAGTGGAGTGGGTCAAATTCTGTCCAGTCCCGGGACAGCTTTAAACGGCCAAACAGGAAACTATTATATATATTATTTCCTTTCACACAAACCACCACCAGATGTGGCACTACCCCAAGCCCCAAGAGCTGAGAGATGAAAGTCAAAGCCTGGGATCTGAAGTCAGTCCCTGAAGCTGTTAGGGTGGGTGTTTTTTGCTTTGTTTTGTTTTTTTCTCAGAAGCAGGGCGCACGCAGGCAGTTAAGTTTGTGCTTTGCGTAGGAACTCCCTTTGACTTGAGCGATTCTGAGAGGCTTAAATCCATGTACAGCTAGCTGCCCTCACTCCTGCAGTTACTATTGGAAACGAGAATCACACGCAGCACTGGGGAAGTTTCACCCCCACATCACTGCTATTCTTGGTAAGTCTCCTGCAGACAGCCCACCCGGGACCAAAGGACTACCTAGGACTCCCCCAGGCACTGTGCTGCCAGCCTCACCTCCCCCCTTGTCCCTCAGCTGTCACTGCCTGCATTTTACCAAAGTCACCCTCAGTGACAACAAGCAGCCTTCTGAGGACACGTAATCCACATCCTCTCATTTGGGAGGGTGTTGAAGTGTGGACACATTGACCTAAATAACCGTAATTAGGGCATGTCGCTAAATGGCAACCTCCTGAGATAACATCACCCTTATTCCTGTTACCCACTGAGCTGGTCTTGATAGTCATTTCCAGACACCTCTGACTCTGTACATCAGTGACCAAGTGCCTGACATTTAAGAGAACAAAATTCCGAGTGTTCATGGGTGGACAGATCGCTTGGGGCATGGGCAGACTTTCCCACAGCTCTGCTTAGGTTGGAGGAAATTCTCTGACACGAATGTAAGGGCCTCTGTCTGCCCATGTCCTCTGCCTGGCTGGCTCACTGGAGACAGCGGCTCCAAACGCCCAGCCCTTGTTGCACCCGGGCACTTGCTCTAGGCTCAGCCCATCTGCACGGAGCTGCTCTCCACGGTGAGTTAGGCAAGTGTGATTTATGATTGAATATGGTGCACTCTCATTTTCTTTCCCAAACTGCTAGCCTTTTGCCTCACAACTGTTAAACAGCTGATATGTGAAATCACTAAATAAGCGATTAATACTTTTTTTTTTTTTGGTAGTAGTTCCGGGGATTGAACCCAGAGCCTTCTCAATGAGCTATATCCTCAGCCTATTTTTTAATTTTTTATTTTGACACAGGGTCTCCCTAAGTTACCCGGCCTGTGATTAAACTTGCAACCCTCCTGCCTCAGCCTCCCAGAGTGCTATAATTCCAAGCCTGTCATGGGCACTGTTTAATGCAAAGAAATAGCTTGCAGTTGGACAATCTCTTTCAGGCTAGAAAGGAGTTCAGGCAGAACACTGGACCAAAAAGGAGGACTCCTGGCTTTTGGTCCCCTGCTCCAACTTTAGGACCCAATTGTCCTATTTATAGAGAGTTCAGACTTATCATCTGCCACATCATGTCTCTGAAATGTAAGTAGAGGGAAACCAGTTTGGCAAGATAGTAAGGGAACAAGATAATGGGTTTAAGTGGTGAAATAGGAAATCCGTTCCTGGGTGGTGTTTGGCGGTTTAGTGTTGCAAGGGTGAGTGTGGGGAATGTGGGACGGTAGCAAGGAGAAGTTCACACGTTCAGTCCTTAACTGAGACGGAGGACTTCGAGTCTGCGTCCACCTCCCTTTACGTCACTTGTATGCGTCGTGGATGTGCCCGCTGCTTGGCAATGTGACTTTAAAGACATGTTGAAAAATAAACAGTGTAGGGCTGGGGATTTAGCTCAGCGGCACAGCGCCTGCCTGGCAAGCGCGAGGTCATGAGTTCTATTCCCAGTACCGGAAAAAAAAAAACCCAGCGAAATGTAACTCAGAAATACCAACTGTGGAAGGAAGGGGTCAGTACCTTTTTCTCTGCATAAGCCTTAATCTCTGTTACTTCACTGTTTCCATGAGGCAATTTCTACCTCAAATTGATTTTGCGTTTACCGGTGTCGTGCTTCTGGCTTGGGTCAGAAGCCTTCATTAGGTCTGGAGTGTTAAATGGAGCTTAAATAAAAGGCCCTGCTAAAAATAAGAAGAGAGACCCGCTTCCTGTCTCTCCTATGGTGTGGTCAGTCAGTAGCTAATAGCGAGTGGAAGAAGGGTGTTATTGTGCAACCAGAATCGTCTAGCAAGAGATCGCTATCGAGCGCCGAGGCAGGTTCCAACAAAACACTGACATAAAACGCTGGCCTCTTTGAGCAAGTAAAATGAAGACTATGCACAAAATGCTGGTTGGGAAAAGAGACCTGAAGTTTTAGACACTTTTTCTTTGGTTTGCTACGCCGGTAAAAGCTAACTTTATCCTTGAAACCCTCATGCCTGCATTGAAAAGCTGTGACTCCGAGATTCCTAAATGAAAGGAAATACTCAATTACCTTAAAGTCTTATGATTGCTAGGGCTCACTGTTACACAAAAATGTGCTCCGCTCCAGGGATTCAGAGCTTGTGTGAAGTGAGGCGAGATGCCTCTTGGTAGCAGCTGTGGGCCCCTTTTGGAAGAGAGGTCAAGCTACTGACAGGATGCAGTCCACCGCCTCCTGTCTCCTTTCTCCTCCTCCTCGTCTATGCGCCATTAAGACCGCAGAGCTGGGATGTTTTCCTGACGTCACCCAGAACGTCCGGCCTGGAAACTCGAGCCGAAGCAGCAGCGACTCATGCGTCTGTTAGACCCAGCATGGCACTCGAGACCGATGTCCTCTTGGCTTGTGAGTTCTTCACGATAAAGGCTTAGCTTCCACCGTCTGCTCAACTGCCTGGCTTGCAGAGGACTCAGCTATCTACACAGACAAAATGATTGGTACGGCCGGAAGTCCTGGCACCCAGCACCGGCGAGACCTGTGGGATGCTGGTCCTCACTCCGAGCCCTTCTCATCCGTCTGCTTCCTGGAGCAGCAGCTCCGCCCCAGGCTTGGTTCCCACTCTGTGCCACCCTTCATTCTAAGCGAGCACTGAGGCGGGAGCGCCGTGCCCGTGGTTGCAGCCCGCCAGCACTTTAGAAGTGGGGGAGAAGACACAAGACGCGCCGGATGGGCCCGGCTCAGAACGGAGCCCATGTCCACACTGGACTCCCAACTTGAAGAAGGGAACGAAATGGAAACCGTGTAGGGAGTGGTGACAGCAACAAGAAGACTGGCTGACTGTGAGCACTCTTCACACTGTGGACCCCAGGGAAGATCACGGGGCCTACTGAAAAGGGAGTGATGTGTTACTGACATGCAGTATGTAGGCTTGACGGAGCTGTGACTTTACACATTTTGTAACCTGAAACCGCCATTACAACATATTTGTTTAAAAAAAATCAAAACTTGCTGACTTGATTAACTATTTTTTCTGCTGAGACGTAAAGTATGCTGCACGCACCCATCAAACCACCCTGCGAAATGCAAATTAGCTCAACCTCTGTATTTCAGCATTTCCCGAATCATCTAATACCACTGAAGAGAGCTGAAAGATTTCTCTTGATATTTTTCCCAATTACAAATTCCTGAAAGAGCTGTGAGGGTGGGAAGTATATTGTGTATAAAGCATAATTTACTGACATCCTTCCTACTTCCAGGAAAATCTAGACACACATATGTGGATTTTTGTGTGGCTATTAGTATGCATTACCTTATATCTTTTGCTAAACAGAGCATACATAACCTTTAAAAACATAGCTAATCAAGCCCCAAAAAAGTGAGAAAAAAATCCAAATATTCATTAACAAATGAAGGGATAAACAGAATGTAGTAAATCCATAAATCCATGCAGTGGAATATTATTTGGTCATAAAAAGGAATGAACTACTAACACATGCTTTGGCATGGAAGTACCTCAAAAACATCACGCTAAGTGAAAGAAGCCAGACATAAAAGGCCACATACTGTGTGATTCCAGTTGCATGAAATGTCCAGAATATGAAAATCCATATAGTCAGAAAATAGATTAGTGGTGCCCAATGGGCTGGCTATTGAGTGTGGGGGTTCCCCTTGGGAGTGATAAAGTGCTTTGGAACTAGGCAATGGTGATGTTATGCAATTTTGTAAATAAAAGCTATTGCTTTGTATAGTTTTTTGGCTTTTTTTTAATCACTGGGATTGAACCCAGGGTCTCCACCCTGAGCTACATCCCTGGCACATTTATGTATTTTTTATTTTGAGACAGTGTCTCACTAAGTCACTTGGGATGGGCTTGAACTTGTAATCCTCCTGCCTCAGCCTCCTAGATTACTGGAATTGCAGGCAGATGCTATCACACGCTGTGAATTGTTCAAAAGTGAATTTTATGCTATGTGAATTATATCTCAAAATTAAAAATATGGTCAATTACCAAAACCACTAACACTATAGTGTTTGTTAAAGCTGCTCACTGAATTTTGACAAGTCTCCATTTCCTCATTCTAAAAGGAGGAAGCAGAACTAGATGTTCTTTCATCCTTTGACTTCAAATACTATTGATTCTAACTGGGTTTTCCTAACTTGGAGGATTTCCTCAGCAAGTGCTTTGCTTAGGAAGTACAGCACTGCAAGTAATGATACCTACACTCCATTCTTGGGTGAATCCTGCCTACCATCAAGCATGTCACTTTGAGGTCAAAACCCAATCCTTAGGGTTTTTTTTATTTTTTTTTTTTAATTTTTTTTAAAGAGAGCAAACATTACTCTCTAGAAATAAGGAGGAAATCCAACTCCTTGATAAAAACCAAAGATATCATCAGGATGACAAGCAGAAGCAATGCAAACCAACAGAATTCAGCTGGCCAGCTCCTAACACCGTAAAATGGCCTTTCTCTAAGACAAAAGTTTCCTCTCCCCCAGAGCAGGGGCAGTTAGAATAGTCATGGTTTCCACTCCATTTTCCATGAGATTTACATTATTTCTGTTGTATTTTTGTTTTGGGCTTCGGGGTGCTCAACCTAGTCAGCTGCAACCGCCCTCAAACACCACGTCCCCTGGGAGTTGGTACCTAGTCTCAACAGGCAAATGGCTCACACACTCAAAAGAAAACTGTTCCACGCCTAGCTGCAGAACCGGGCTGCTGGTCGACCCGATGGGAAAAAGCACAAAGCGGAGATGAGACACAAGAAAGGTTCAGGATGTTCCAGGCGAAGAACGAGAAGCAAAGAAAACCGCGGCTGGTACACGGAGAGACGCCTTCTGTTTCAGCCAGCGGTCAGCAGGCTCACATTATAATCACCGAATAAAGTGGGAAATCCCCACCGCCAAATAGAAACATCACAGTAGACCCACAGAGCCAGGGCTGGGAGGAGACTCCAAGTTCAAGCCCAGCCTGAGCAACTTAGCGAGCCCCTGTCTCAGAAGAGGCTGGGGGCCGGAGCTCAGGGAGACAGTCCTGGGTTCCAGCGCCAGGACCGGAAAAAACAAAAAAAAGACCAGATAAGGATAGACTTTCAGGCCCTGCACAAATGAGGAGGAGGAGCAGATGCTCTCTCTCCTCGAATCCTACAGTCTAGTAGCAAAGAAAGTCCTTGTAGTTTTAACCAACCGCTCCCTCGTCTTTTCCCAACCAGCCGCTCTCCCTTAATGCTGGCCATTGCAGTTAGCGGGAACGTCACTCTCATCGCATCTCACAGCAAGCTGTTAAGAAGTCCTGCTGGCTCTTCCTTTAATATCTGTCCACCCGTCTGTCTGTCTGTCTGTCTATCTATCTATCTATCAGCCATCATGTCTGTCTATCTATTCACCATCTGTCATTTATCTATCATCTGTCGACTCTACAGGATGAGAACTCTTTTCTTTACCTTTGCCACTACAACACCCACTTTCTCTTGCTTGAATTCCTGGGATGGCCTCCTAACTGGATGCCCCAGTTTCTAACTTTCCCTCAATGCAATCTTTTCTCCACAGCAAGTAGAGTTATTCTTTTCAAGTGAGAAGTCCAATGATGTTACCTGTGTTCAAAACCCAAAGTTTTTCAATTTCATTCAGAGGAAAAACCAAGTCTAAAGACCTAGGAAAGGATAAGGCCTGTTTTCCCATTTCCCCTCTGACCTCATGTCCCATGACTTATGCTGCCCCCGCCAACCAGGACTTTCAAATTTGAGCCCCAGGACCTTTGCACTTGCTGCTCTGGAGTTATCTGCCAGGCTCATTCCTTATTCATCCCGTAGGTCTGTCAGTTAAGCTTCCCTGACTCATCCCCACCCCCAGCATCCTCTTCATTTTTCTTCATTGGCACTCACTCCCTGCCGAGCTTCTAATTATTTATTCCATTTATAATCCGTCCCCATCAAAGCACAAACTCCATGAGGCAAGGCTTTTGTCACCTTGCCCCCTGTCATGTCCTATCACCCGTCCATCAGATGCTCACTAAGCCTTTGCAGGACAGGTGCTGGGAACTCACCCGTGTCCCCCAGGTCAGAGCTCTGGAGAAGTGTGCGGCAGCGCTCCTTGTGCTCCTCCAGGGAACTTCTCTGCTTGTAGCTTCTCCCGCAAAACTCACACTTGTAGGGCTTCTCCACTGGAAGGAGAGCAGGGGCACTGAGCGACCTTGGGGTTCGGGGCCCCTCACAGGCCGCAGACTGGGGCTGTGTGAAAACTGCTGACGAAGCCAGAGTACTCAGATACTTCTGAATGGATGTTACTTTTGCATTTAAGAAGCTGAAATAAGGCGGCGGCCTGCTGCTGCTGGTTACCGCGTCCCAGTGTCCTTTGAAAGGATCACTTTCCGGAGCAGCTGGAAGGATTTGGATTTGGTGACCAGCATTTAGCCTAGGGTTTAGCTCCAGGTTGAATCTTGTCTTTTTGAGCTATGCAGTTCAGGCTGGCCTTGAACTCACTATGTAGCCCAGGCTGGCCTCATATTCATACATATATCCTCCTGCCTCAGCCTCCTGAGTGCTGGGATTAGAGGTGTGCTTCACCACACCTGGCTTCAAGGTGAACCTTGATGCTTCTTGTTGAACAACAAGAGGCCCCTATTATTCTTTAAGGAGGTCAGAGTGGGGCAGGAATGATGGGAAGGGATTCCTTACCGTCTGCCGTCTGCCTGGCCGTCCGGCTAGGGATGCAGCAGAACGTGGCCATGTGTGGATAAATTTATCTCATTCTGGTCAAGCGGTGATAATAGCAAACTCTCGGCTAGCGCAATCAAAGCTGAGCTAAGTAAGGATATTTCTGAACAACGGAGTGAATGAAGAATGAGTTGCAAAAATGGCTTCACTTCAGGGGAAGGGGAAGTTTCCTCCACAGTTCGTCCGTATGGTTCAGGTAACTGTAGCCTTCCAATGCACCCCAAGTGCTCTACTCCTTGAAATATGTAAGTGAGAACTTCGGTGCTTTATGCAAGACTGGCCTGTCTGGTTTGTTGGTAAAATATGCCCTAAGAATTAGAGTTTTAGGGACTGAGACTTTTATTTTCTTTCTTTTCTTGCACTTGTGGGATCAACCCAGGCCCTGCGCATGGAAGGCAAGTGCTCCAGCACTGAACCACTGTCTGTCCCAGCGCCCAGATACTTGCTTTCTAAATCCTCTTGCTTTACCTAAAATGGAGGCATTGGGATTTAAAGTCCTGAAAGATCCTTAGAAAACTCCAGATTAAAACAAAGTGCAGATTTCTAGGGCTAATGATGTCAGATTTCTACACAAATTGGGTCCATTAGAGTCCATTTTAAAAATTCCTATTATTGTTGTTTCTTACCTGAGAAACATAAAGAAGATAACTGCCCTCACCTTTTTTTTTTTGTTTTGAGCAAACTCATCCTTAATTTATTACTTTGAAAAATGAGACACAAAAGAAAAAAAAAACCAAATTTGCCTTGTATGATCTTCCATGGTGGCTTCTTTGACTTGTTTAATGCTCGTCTCTGAAATGGGACCAGCTTCAAGATTAGGGCTGGGTTTTAGTCAAAGTAGTAGATGTGGATTAACTTAAAAATAGACCTTTTTTTTTTTTTAATTAAAATTTTGTCAGATAACATCAAGAACATGAGGTCCCAAATCTGCAAATAAACCGTCTTATTTTTCTAAGAAGGAAATTCGAAATGTTGAAAAAAACTGCACTATCTTGGTTGCTCAAACTAAGGAGTAAAAAACATCAAGCAGGGGTTGATGAACTCTTAGTTTTGGGCTCTTGATGAACTCTTAGTTTTGTGCCTCTGTTAGAGATTCAAAGTAAGTGGGCTGACAAGTTAAGAGTTCAAGACATCTAGCCCCGAATGGCTGAAAAGGACCCCAAACAACAATTTATACCTGCTTTACAGTTCTTTTGTAATTTATAAAACTACACATCACTTACCTGTCCTGGGTTCTGAATGGAAAGTGTGTGTGTGTGTGTGTGTGTGTGTGTGTGTGTGTGTGTGTGTGTGTTAGGACAATAATCTTTTAATAAAGTTTACCATCAGAAACATATCAATGGTTATAATTTTCTTGCAACAACGACTGCAAAGACATTTTTTCAGGTGGGGGCCCTCTTCCTGTCTGGCTGCTGTCCTCCAGGGGCCGAGGATGTGAGCCGGTGTCTCCACCAAGGCAGACAGAGAGCAATTAATGCCTTAATGGAAGGGCAATTAGCCCTAGAGGTCTCTGCTGCCGCCACACTTCAGCACTGCAGTGACAGATCGGATGGAGCCTCTGCGCTTAACTCTTTGCAGTTCCCATCCCCAGGCACTGCTGCTCGTCCCCCTCACTTACCAGAATGTGTCCTAAGGTGCCCCGTGAGTGCATCTCTCCTTTGGCATGCGTAGCTGCAGAGGTGACACTTGAAAGGTTTTTCCCCTGTGTGCAGTTTAATGTGGCGGAGGAGATTACCTTTCTGAGTAAAAGATGCCCCGCACTGGTTACACTGGAATGGGCGTTCACCTTGAAAGAGGACAAAAGAGGCGATTTCCGGTCACCAGGTGAATGGAAAAGCACATGTACAGATCAGATGCCCATGGCAAAGCTTGCCTCCCGGACCACTCTGTTCACGCTGGGATCACTTGGGAGCTGCATTTCCAGGCAAGGGTGGTAAGGCCCCCTGTGGAATCTTCCTCCAAAAGACAAAATGCTCCCACCCAGCAAGGCTAGTCTAGGCAATGTTTCATCTTGAATCAGACCAAAGAAATACAAGTACCTCTAGGATAGCTTCTTTTTTTTTGAGACAGGGTCTCACCATGTAGTTTAGACCAGGCTTGAACTCACTATGTAGCCCAGGCTGGCCATGAACTCACAACTATCCTCCTGCCTCAGCCTCCTGATTGCTGGGATTATAGGCAGGCGCCACCACTCCTGGGTTTAGGGCAGCTTTCTAGGCCTGAGTTTTCATATTACTTCACGTTCCTCTTAAACATAATCTGCTTTACAGAGACTCACACACTCAAACCAGTGAGGTGCTGAGGGCCACCAATACCTCCTTTCAGGGTCTTCAGCTTGGCTGTCAGACTCAATCTACTGGCTCTGGGGACTGTTGCTCATAGGCTTTCCTCTAGACTGCCTGGTCACCATCTGGAGACACCATCCTCAAAACTGGAGAGAACGACAACCTTTCACCTACCAAATCTGAACCCAGTACAGTGAGGAGCTCTCCTTTTATTGAAAGTGTTTCACAAAAATACACAGCACTCTCTAAGAAGCAAATCGCACAGTTCGGCTCCTGCTTATTAAGGGAAGAAGAACCACCCGGCTGACCCGGAACACTGGGCTGTCTGCGGTCGTTCTTCCCCGCACAGCATTCGCCCGCTCACCGGGTCACCGGCAAGGCGGCCGGGGCACATGGGAATTAGAGCAAAGGCCAAAGGAAGCAGTCGAAGTCCCAGTTCTACCAGCTCACTCTTCTCTAGGCGGCTGCAGACGGTTCTTCAGAAGAGTGAAAAAGGAGACTATTTACCAGTATGGCTCCGCTTGTGAACCATTAAGACGTTGAAGCTAATGCAGGACAAGCCACACACGTCGCAGCTCATCTTGCCGCCGGCCGGCCTGCCCCCGTCGTAGGAGGCCGCGTGCCTCTCCAGCTTCATGCTGTCATAGTCACTGTATTCTCGCGTGTAGCTGTAAGGGATTTCAGGCTCCTCCATGCTTCCCACGGGCTCTGGCTTTAAGACACTCTCCTCTCTCTCACTGTACTCATCCTTCACTCTCACCGACTCATCTGCAGGGAAGAGGACGCAAGAAATGAACGATGGCTGTGTTTGACGCTGGGAGAGCATTTCAGAAAGCCACGGCACACGAGCGGCAATTAAGTACGGAATTAAGCTAATGCAACGTTATACATCTCCAAGACAAGAGAACGCCATTAGGATGATCGCTCATTACTTGAACCGAGAACCTCCTCTGTTGGAGGAAAACACACAGACCCACACACGTGAAACACACGACAGCGTTTTAGGCGATCCTCAGTCCCGGAAACGATGGGCTTTAGCTGTGACTGCTCAGAGGGACCACGAAGCAAACACTCGGAACCACTCCTCTCCAGGAGCGGGGAGGAGGAAAGGTGCTCAGGTCTAGCGCTTTTTTGGTGACTGCAGCTAACAACAGGCAAGGTGATGCGCTCTCAGGCTGTGAGGAGGAAATACCATCTCCATCCCTCAAGGGCATCCGATTTGGACCACTAGGACCTACGGGTGAACAGTTAAGAGGGTTTTTTTGTTATGATTTGAAGCCACATTTTGCCTCCTCCTTTTCCATGTGTATGAAGTAGTAAAACGGGCCCTGTCTCCCCATCTCTTTTGGAATCGATCAAGACGCACTGCTGAGTGGAGAGGAAGCTGTCAGTACTGGTGAAACGGTGTGAGCAAGATCAAAGGAGAAGAGACTGTTTAGTGTCACTAAGGAGTCGCTCCCATTGACTTTAGGTAAACAGGGTTCCCCCTAACAGGGGGAAAGGACCTACACCCGAGCTAAAGAGAGCCACCCGAGACCCTCAGATTGCAGGATTAGACCGGAGGGGAGGAGCTGCCCATGCTACCGAATACCATCTCAAAAAGGACTATTACTCCCTCACAATGAAGAAGACACATTTATATAGTAACATTAACAAGACTAAATGTTTACCTGATGCAATCATAAGCATTTATAAGGGGTTTTGAAAACATAAATGCTTAGTCTTTCAACCTGGTTCTTAGACACTGAACGTTGTGCTTCCTTCCCCGGAGGAGTCGCAAATCCCTGGAATTAGGGCTGAGTGGGAAGGCAGAGGTCATGTCCTCCACCCCTCTTGATTCTCAGATGAGGCGGCGTGGAAGCAGGGCCGTCTCCAGTGATTTGTCCGAGCGTCTGTGGCCAGTTACTGGCAGAGGTGCAGTTGTGATGCTGAACTTAACCCCCAGCTACCGATAACTTGGATCTGCCTCACACATTAGATGTAAAAGATCTAAGTGGCTTCTTGCTACCTCCATTCCACACCCTCCCTCCTCTGGGGGTAGATGTGAAAACCCAAAACACCCTGAAGAAAAAAAGGTCTTTTTAAAAACGGCATCCCTTCCAAAACACATCAGTAAGTGCTGCTCCTGTAGCCACACAGGAGGAAGTTCGGCTGCAGCTGTGCCTGACTCGCTGCCTTCCACCCGAGTTTCAATTTTCACTTCTACCAAGGTTCCCTTTCATCTATATTAACTGTGTTTGCTTAACAGAGCAAGACAGGCCCGAGCCACCGCCAGCGGAGCCAGGGCTGCGACCCCGGTCCACTGCTCGCCACAGTTCACGGTTCACAGCCTCTCCCTTGGCGCAGGCAGGGACCGGGGCCGCAGGATGAACCTAGCATGTTCCTGTGCAACTGGCTTCTGGCTGAGCTGACAGCGCGTCCTACTTGGAACGAGCTACATTCCTTCTTTCTCTGGACAGCCTTTGCCTGCCTTCAGGCAGATTCCGTTTCCTTTACTACTCTGGCTTTTTTTTTTTTTTTTTTTAAACTTTAAAGAGAAGGATGCACTGAGGCTGTGGCCCGCTCTCCCCCGGCTCCCCAGCTGTGGGTGATATCCCACCAAAGCTTGGGTGCTCTTCAGTTTGCATGTAGGCGTTTAAAAGAACCTCAACGGAAAACTTCAGCTACTGAAAACCAAAAACAGCAGACTGAGAGGGCCAGCACAAAAGGATCCTTTTCATTTTGGTTAGAAAATGTGAATGTGACCACAGGCAGGCCACTCTGCGGTCAATGAACATTAAAAAATAGTGAGATCAACGGGTGGGGATCTTTTTGAAAACAGAGAACAGGAGAGAGCTGCTCCTTGCCTCGGGACCTTGACCTTGGTCGGCCTGAGCTGGAACCTCAACGGACCTTGGCTTTAGTCCCTTAGGGCAGCTGTAGGGCAAGGAAGGTGGCGTCCGAGACCAGGGTCATAGGAAAGGGACAGGGAGCAGGGCAGACCCTGGGACTAACGGACCCAAACAATGTCTGGTACAGTTGCTCATTTTCCTGTGTCAGACAAACGACCTCGACTCCTCCGCATGGTGGCTGGGATCAGCGATTTACAGTTTCCAAGGTACAAGTAGGATTCCTGGGAAACAATCGGTCTTAGCACCCAAATATAGTCTCCTGAGGCATCCAGGAACAGCCTGACTGCTCTAGCAAGGAGAGCCACTCTGCTCCGTGGCAGGAGGGGTGTTACACCCCTGGAAAGCACCAGTTACCTAAAATCAACACCACGATTCCGAACCTGCTTCTATCATTTTTGACCTGTGCGTAGTTACAAATGGCGTCTCCTTTCTCGCAGTCTTCATGTCTTGAAACTGTGAAATCCCTTCCATCTCCGCAGCCGCAGTCCCTCAACTCTCCCAACTCCCTGTGCTCACGCCGTCCAGGCACCAGCCCCTCTTTCCTTTCCCTTTGCAACTCAGCTCTGCGTCATGTCCTCCCTCTCCACCCTTCCCTACAGTAACATCATCCATTCTTTTTTTGGTACTGGGAATCGAACTCAGGACCTTGCACTTCCCAGGCAGGCACTTGTGCTGCTGAGCTATCTCCCCGGCCCACCTCATCCATTCTTAAGACTCCATCTAGCCTCCTACACGCGTGAGTCCCACTCATCCGTCTCCAGTCCACACTCGCTCCCCGCCCTCATCCTCTGTTTGCGAGAGTCCCCAGGTGTCTTCTCAGTTGCTCAGCCTACAGCCTTCCAATCATCTTTGCTCTTCCCCGCGTGTGCCCTCGTTCCCTCGGTCACCGGTCTCCCTTTGCGCCCGCTGTCCGCTCTGCCCCCCACTGCCCCCACTGCCCCCTGCGCTCACCTCAGCCCCTCGGGCCTTTGCCGTCCCCTGCAGCCTCCACGTTGTCCCTGTCTCCCTCCCAGCTCACCTTGGATGTTCCTACACCCACAGCCTGCTCATGTCCTGCCCCTTCCAAACCCTCCAACAGCCCCTGCTGCCAGTGAAATAAAGTCCAAACGCGGAAACAAGGGTAGTGAAAGGCCTTCTGAGATCGGCCAGAGCCCACCCTTAGAATGTTCATTTTGACTACGCAGATATCTCTCACCAACTCGAACAATTTCTAGGTATTCTCGGTTATATTCATGTTCTTTCTACCACCGGAAAGGTCTTTCCCCAACACTGCCACAGATCCCAAGTCCCACGCAGCTAAGGTCGGGCCACTGCCCATCCCCACCCATTGCGTCTTCCCTGGCTCCTCAGGGGGAAAACAGCCAGCTCTCTCTGTCTCTGAGTTGGGTACAAACGCCCTCGTCTCCTCTACGGACGTGTAAGCCAGCTGTTGGTGGAAGCGACACAGATTGTGTCTGTGTGCGCACACACACTTTTTTAAAAGCTCATTATTTTCTACAACACTGCTTACTGAGACCACAAGTTGCCCCTGAACTCCCAACTATTTGGGAGGCTGAGGCAGGAACACTGCTTGAGCCTAGGAGTTGAAGGCCACTGGGGCAACGTAGCAGGATCCTAACTCAAAAAAAAAAAAAAAAAAAAGACTATAAGTTGTATGTTTTTAAGAGAGAAATCTGGGGCTCCATGAGAAACCTACTAACCTGGGTGAGGGGACTGGAAGTCTGCATTTAAAAACACGCTTTCCAGGGAACCCTCATGCACAACCGACTCTGGGACCGCCAGCTCTGGACAGGATACAGTGCCCCACACGAAGCAGACGCCAGTGAATCCTTGGCACAGGAGGGCACCGCTGCCCTCACCTCTGGGCTGGCCCGCGCCGCACGCAACCTCTGTTCTCCCCGGTGCCACTGCCAGATCAATCAACGGTGGCAACAAAACCCTTCTTTAGAAACTTCCAGTGATTCCACCTGGCTCACAGAATAAAGCCCAAGCTGCCGGGTGAAGCCCGTCCGGAGCCTGCTGCACGCCCAGCTGGTCAGCTCATTGATCGGCCACCTGAAGTCACCGTGCTCTCTACGCTGGGACCCTGCTGCTCACAGTGAGGCCCTCGGAACCAGCACCTCTCAAGAGCTTATCCGAAACGCAGAAGCCCAGGCCTCGGGCCAGGCCTCCAGAATCAGAATTCGTAGTTTAACAAGATCCTCAGGGACTCTTCTGTACCTGGGAGAGTGACAGGCACATGAACAGCCTGACGTCACGGCTCTCCAGCCCGCCCCAGGCCAAGCTGCCCTTCCACTGCACCGACACGCCACCCGATGCAGCTTAGAGGCCACGTCCTCCGTGCAGTCTTCCTTGACACCTTTTTCTTTTGGTACTAGGATTCGAACTCAGGACCTTGCGCTTGCCAGGCCGGCACTGTGCCACTGAGCTGTATCTGCGGCCGGACACTCTTGACTAGGAAAAACAATTCCTGTTCCTTTGTTCTCACGCACCTGTGTCATTGTGCTTTGTGTTTAGCATGAGGCAATTAACCAAAATGTTACATGTGAAACAGAAACACTGTCCCACCGACTTACATCGCAGTCAGAGGCGTGCATCACCTTTCCCATGGATTTTCGGGTGTCAGGGACCCGCAACCCCTGAACTGCTTAGGAAAGGCAGAAAATCACGACCATCTGGGAATAAACACTTGAGTCCACTTGAGGAACTGCCTCGGGTACTCTGAAGTGATTTTTGTAAAGGGAAATAACCGTTTGAATAATCCTCCATGTTGGTTCTGTAAAGTCTAATCGCCTTATAATATGCATCAGGTTTCTTAGCCAGACGATTTAAACTGACACTTTAAAGGTCATCAGAAATCTTCGCAGGCACTGGCAA